TAGGGGGTCATGATGTGGGCTGTGTGAATTCCATCCATCCATCCATCCATCCATCCAAAAAAATTTTTTTAACCTTTAGGTTTGAGATACAGAGAATGTGAGTGGGGGAGGGAGAGAGAGGGAGGAAGACACAGAATCTGAAACAGGCTCCAGGCTCTGAGCTGGCTGTTAGCACAGAGCCCGATGCGGGGCTCAAACCCATGAACCATGAGATCATGACCTGAGCTGAAGTACGACACTCAACCGACTGAGCCACCTGGGCGCCCCTCCATCTATCCATCTATTGATTCAACATTTCTGAGCACCTATTTATGAGAGCCTCCAGATTGGGGGGGGGGGCTTTATCCTGGGTGCTCTGGGGAGCCACAGAAGGGTTGTGAGCAGGGGAGGGTCCATGGTCAGTTCTGGGTGTCTGTGAGGGATGACCTGGAGAGTAGAGATTGGAGGCTGGGAGGCCAGGGAGGAGGCTGGGGTGAGGCTGGGGAGGACAGGGCAGTGGGGATGGAGAGCAGGGGACAGAGCTTGGAGACTGAAATACTGGGGGGCAGAAGAGAATGGTGACAGTTCTGGGGAGTCAGGCCCAGTGTCTGGGTGGACGGTGTGTGAGGGGCTTGCGCAAGCGAGCTTCTCCCACTCCTCACTCATGGCCGACCCTTCTCAGTACCAGAGGCACCTGTTCGTACACATCAGCCAGCACTGCCCCAGCCCTGGAGCGCCCCCCCTCGAGAGTGTGGACGTCCGGCAGATCTATGACAAATTCCCTGAGAAAAAGGGGGGCCTGCGGGAGCTGTACGACCGTGGGCCCCCTCACGCCTTCTTCCTGGTCAAGTTCTGGGTGAGTTCTGCCACCAAAACAAAAGCACTCACAGAATCACGTGGCTCTGCCTCTAAGGGAGGCAAGCTCCGGCCTTACCGGTCCTTGTGGCTCAGAGTGTCCGCCCCCTTTGTAACAAGGAACACGGAGGAGTTTTACCCCCAGGACAGGAGTGGATAGGACCCGTGCAGGCGTGGGGAGAGGACTTGGACCTCCCCAGGTCCCACTAGACTTTGCCACAACCAGTGGTGCGATGGATGTGGCCTTAAGGATTGGCTTGCAACCTTTCAGCCTTCCCTACGCCCCACCTGACCACATGTGGCCTTGTTGCTAAGGAAGGGCTCCTGTCCCTTAGCAAATAAGAGTTATAGAGTTTGGTCTCTAAAGAGAGGACAGACCCTGTTGTTAGAGAATGGTCTTGAGGAAGTGACTGATGGCCCTGGGAGGGGCTTTGTGAAGGCATTTATTTATTTAACGGTCATTTATTGAGCGCGTACTCTGTGTAGGCTCGATGCCCAGTGCTATGTATATAATCGTGAATAAGAGGCCCATTTGGTTTGGTGTTCCCTACAATGGCTGATGTTATCGGGGCCCAATCGATGTTGTGAATGTTTAGGGGGTGGTAACTCTTGTTAACCAGGGCTGTGGCGTGATCTAGTCTCCTAGAAGGAAGCCTGCCAAGGGCTTGAAGTTCATGGGCTTTGCATGGTTATAAAGTGGCTAGTGTGTACAAGCCCAAGGCGGCTCTGGGGATGTGCTGCCAAGGTCTTAGACCTTGTTAGGACTTGAGACAAGCCTTATCCGGTTCCAGATCTGGAGAACAACCCCTAGGAAATCCAGCGTCTGAAGGCATGCAGGGGTGTGGCTGGGAAGGTGGGGAGTGGCCATTGTCAGGGTGATGGATGGAGCTGGGGCCCGGAGGCCAAGACTAAACCACCTCGGAGAGTGACCTGGTCAAGTTAGCAGCTAAAGTTGGGAAGAGGAAGAGGTGTGTGGTGCCCAAGGGGCTCAGACCACAGGTGTGATGAGGTTTTAGGCTTCGTTGGGCCCTACTTGGCCTAATTAAGGGACTGTCTGCCCACTTAGCCACTGGGGTCATGGAGGGGCCTGACCTCCAAGGATTGGCTGAAAGGGCCTGGGAGAGTGTTCTGGAAAGGAGTCAGGCTTCTCCAGGCCCCTCCAGGCCCCTTTGCCGGGGAGTAGTCCATCGCCTTAGCAACCAGGGTCATCAAGGGCTCTGTGAGGGAGACTCTGGTTGCCAGGGAGGAACTGCCTCTTTAGGGACCGCAGTTTTGGAAGGGGCTGACCTCTTGAGTTGGGGACTCCAAGAGAAGAAAGTTGAATTCCAGGGCTCCTCTGTTGGGCGTGGAGTTATTGGAGAGAGAGGGTCAGGACCGTTTTAAGAAGCCAGACGTCTCCAATACTGATGGAAGTGTGGGTATGTTCCAGAAACAGGCTCATGGAGAAGCAGGGACCTTGAATGCTAAGGAAGACAGGTGGGCAAATGCAGGGCTATGGGGTGGGGGTGGGGGTGGGAACCTGGCCATGGGGCAGAGTTCCCACTCTAGAGGGATCCCCACCATTTACAAGGAGCTTCCTCTCCACCTCACCTGTGCCTCCCTCCCCATCCCCCAGGCGGACCTGAACTGGGGCCCCAGTGGCGAAGAGGTAGGGGCCAGCGGCAGCAGCGGTGGTTTCTATGGAGTGAGCAGTCAGTACGAGAGCCTGGAGCACATGACCCTCACCTGTTCTTCCAAGGTCTGCTCCTTCGGCAAGCAGGTGGTGGAGAAGGTGGAGGTGAGGCCGGAGGGGTAGAATTCTGGGTGGGTGAGCACCCAGCCACCTGGCACTTTGGGGGTGCAATGGCTCATGCACTTGGGTGTCTGTGTGCTGGGGTGGGGTGAGGGAGTGTTCTATCCTCGTTGGGGATTAAATGCATGGGCTGGGAGCTAATACTGAAATCCAGAGTCCCACATAGGGGTTACTTTGAAGGTCCAAAGGTTACATGTGGTACAGAGATTTATAGTCACCCAGATTCCAAAGGTTCTTATGGATATGGAGGAGTTTGCAGGGCAAGGAGCTTCAGGGGTCAAACTTAGGGATTGCTGAGGACTTGAGGGGTCTTGAACTCAGGAGTCATATAGAATCTGGAGACCTAGTGGAGGTGTCTCGGGAGGGTGGGAGGGTTTTTGCTCAAAACAGAGCAGTTTTGAGAGGCTGGGGGGGGGGTGTCCCTGGTTTGCAGGTCCAGTGATCCCAAGTGGGATACCTGAGGGCTCAGGTCCCATCTCTGGTCACCATGGATGGGGCACTGGTGGAATGACCGCAGTGGGGAGTAGGCGTGGCATCGGAGAGGCACAGAGTGGGGCGCAGTTCCTGGGGTGATGCCTGTGTCTCTCAGTCACTGTCCTCCCCACTCTGCGCCCCCATCCCGGTTCAGACGGAGCGCGCCCAGCTGGAGGACGGGAGGTTTGTGTACCGCCTGCTGCGCTCACCCATGTGTGAGTACCTGGTGAATTTCTTGCACAAACTTCGGCAGCTGCCCGAGCGCTATATGATGAACAGTGTCCTGGAGAACTTCACCATCCTCCAGGTGATGCACTGGGGCTGGGCTGGGCCTGGGGCCGGGGCACTGAGGTGGCGGGGAGTGCCCACGACAGACCCTCAGCCTGGGGACCCTGACACAGGGGGATCTCCCCTCACGGGGCAAACTGACCTCCGGAACATCCCGTGGCGTATCCTCAGTTTAAGGGACCCCCTTCATAGGGAACCTAACCTTAGCCCAGGGAACCTGATCCTGTGGGATCCCCTTTAACTCTGATATGAGTCCCCTCACTGCCAACGCTCGAATGTTGAAACTGACAAGTCAGGCATCTCTTCTCCCTACTCCCTAGGGGATATGATATGGTGGGGATCTCTTCCCTGGGTATTCTGTGGTACCCTGGGGAGGGCAAAGTGGTTCTTGATCCTCCCTTCCCCCCTTTTTATTTTCATAAACCCTTTCTCTTGGTCTCCTTGGCAGGTGGTAACAAACAGAGACACCCAGGAGCTGCTGCTCTGCACCGCCTACGTCTTTGAGGTCTCCACCAGCGAGCGGGGGGCCCAGCACCACATTTACCGTCTGGTCAGGGACTAAAAGGGGACCCCAAAAGTGGCTCATGCCCGGAATGCGCTCCTCCCAGGAAGGACCTCCAGTTTTCTTCATGCTTATTTGGGGAGGGGGCACTGATCCCTGTTAGAGGGGACCTTAAAAAGCTGAGTGGCGAGCTGGAAGGTTGGATCCTGATATTGGGACTTCACAGTGGTGTCTGAAGTTCCAGTGGAGTGGAGATCCTCCAGAGCATCAGGGACTGGGGACAGGAGTGAGACAGCCCTGAGGTGTAGCATTGGTTTCTCAGTCTCTAACAGGCACCCTCCCCCAACTTGGTTCTGGATGTTTTGGGGGGGGCCTTGGATATGTTGGTTTGTCCCTCTGTCTTTCAGCACACCCCCACCTCCCTTTCCCAATCTGCCTCTCCTTACCACCCTCACCTGTGACCTTGAGATCAAATATTGAAGGTTAACCCTTTCTGTGCCGGAGCAGAGCCAGGTGGGCCCTGGAAATATTTTTTTTAATATAACAAGAGATATTTATAAGTGGGTATTAGGGTTGTGACTTTTTGTCAGCTGGGCAAGGAGTGGGGTGAGGCTTTTAAATCTCATCCTCCCTTCTAAATAAGACGTGGGCTATGCTGTGTTGCCTCCCCTCACCCGCAAAGTGTGTCGGTTTGTGTTTTGACAGAGGATAAAACTATTTTACCAAAACGCAGGGGATTTATTTGGGGTTTGGGCGAAAAATAATCCTGTGGGAGGTGCGGTAGGCCAACCCATGAGGAAAGGAAACGAGGTATCTTTGGGGGCAGGAAGCTGGTGACCAGAAGCCTCAGGTCCCGCGGGAGAGGTGACAGCAGATGGGCAGGCAGACATCTGGGTCCCCGGGGAAATGAGGTGGAGGACTCAATGGCTGGGGCGAACGGGGATTGAACAAATATTTACACACCACAGGGAAACCTCTGGGACACCTGAAGGGGGCGGGGCGGGGCCTTGAGAGGGGCGGGGCCTAGAGGTACCGAGCAAGCCGGTCGTAGACTTGGTCCATGTTTCTGCACAGGAATATCGAGAGCGTCATGAAGCTGAGCTATAGAGAAAGGAGACCTGGTCAGAGAGGTCCAGGGGATGTTGGCTAGAGGGATGGGGATCGGGGGAATGGGGGTCCCGAGGGAGAAAAAAGGGGTGGGGCCAGGGGATAAAAATAAAGCAAGGCGGGGTGATTAGGGGCGAAGGGAGTAGAAGCGGGGGGCTAGAGGGAGAGCTGGGCCAGGTTGTGAAAGATGGGATCAGGGATGGGAATTTGGGGGCTTGGGTTTAGTTACCAAAGATACGAGGGAGTGGGAAGATGGGAAGAAGGGGAATAGGGTGGGGTAGGGGTACCCGGCTGCGTCTAGCGCAGATTTAGTCTGGGAAGGAGTGAGATCCGGAACTAGCCCAGGCTACTTTATTCCGGAGGCTCATCTGTCTCCCCCTCTCCCTCGACCGCTAGTTCCACCTCGACCTCCACCTCCGCGCTCCCGTTCTCAGGTTGTTCCTCGTCTTGATCCCAAAGCGGCCAGGGCCCCAGGGCCATGGGCAGCTTGCCCTGTGGGCACTTGTCCCCCCAGTTGGGACAGGCATCTGCCATGGCCCAGCCACCCCTCAGACCGCCGCTACGCCCGCTGTTGCTCAGCACACCACAGCGCCCGCCGCCGCCGCCATCAGCACTGGGGCCAAGGCCGGGGCTCGAACCATAGGCGTCCGGCACCTGCAGCTGGCGCTCCCGACGGAGCGCCCTACGCAGTAGCAGCAGGCTCAGCCCCGCCACACTCACCTGCAGGGGAAGGGGAGGGATAGTGCAGCTAAGCAGAGCGCTAGAATGCCAAGGAGGGCCAATGGGAGCTTCCCGAGGGCTGGCGGAAACGCCTACTCCCTGCGTACAGCCAATCAGGGCTCGCAGAGGATAGGTCTTCCTTGCGCCGAGAAGCAGGAGATCCTGGATTGGCTGACGCTCCATCACGCCTGCACCTTTCCCAAAGAAAGGGAGGGCGCGCAATTGGGGCGGAACCATCTAGGGATTGTAGCGCTAATCGCAAATGCGGGCGGGACCAAATTACCTCAAGTAGACCGACGCCCAGACAAATGCCTACTATGGAGATGAGGTTGTTGTGCAACCACTTCTGGAGGCTCCGCGCGCAACCCTAGGGATGTAGGAAAAGGTTAAAGGTAGGGTTCTCTCTGGGATTCGCCCTCAAGCCCGTGCCCACTGTTTTCCTTAGCCCAGCCCTCACCCCTCTTTCAGGCACCACCCCGCGTCCCTAGGTAGTAGGGTTCTCTAGGCTCCACCTCGCCCGGTCCAGCTGCCTTTCAGCCTTGCTTTTTCTTTTAGGCCCCGCCCCACAAGTCACGCCCCTTCTAGGGAGCTCCACCCCTCCTGTTGTACCGCTTTCTCGTGGCCCCGCCCTATTTGCAGACTCCTCCCATGTCCTGCGGCTCCGCCTCCTGGGGAGCACGCCCCTACCACAGCCCTACCCACTCCCCGGCCTCTCCCATTTCTCGCGGGCTCCAAACCCTGCCCACCTCGCTGTAGATATCGCTGTTTGCGGGGACCGCGCAAAGGTCTGCACTGTGGCGGGGCCGCGCCAGTGGTCCGAGCCGGCTGAACTGGGAGAAGGAGAGCTTCTCGAAGATGGCGGAGTCGTTGGTCGCCGATGAATTATAGCAGGAGCAGGGCACGCGGTGCACCTCTGACTCGTTGCTGCTGAGGCTGGGAATACCGAACCAGTCCCGAGGGGAGTTCCAGCCGCAGCAGCGCAGCTAGAAGAGGGACAACAGTCAAAGGGACGTGGACGGGAGGCGTTCAAGAGGAGTTGGGGGTACAGGGGACTGGGTGGTGTGCATGAGGTCATGTTGGGGAGCAAAGGGCCAAGTAGTGGGTGCAGGGTGATGGACCACGCGCGGGCTAGCCTTGGGGACATTAGGAGAACATGGGGTTGGCGGAGACCAATCAGGGGCGACATGGGGCTGTGGGAGGAGCTGCAGAATCACGTTGTGGATGGAAGATTGGGTGGGCGGTGCAATTCAGCTTCAGGTGGGGGACAGGTGGATGGGAGGGCAGGGCCGCGGAAGTGACCAGGGAGCGGAGTATCACGTGGGTCGGGTCCTGTAAGGACCAGAGTCACTAAGCGTTAGGGAGTGGGGTCACGCTAGACCTTGGGGCTGAGGGCGAATTCTTGTTGGGACAAATCGGAGCCTCTCCGGGGTCTGGGAGCTGGGGGAAACCCGACCACTTTGGAGTCTGTCGAGTTACCATCTGAGGGCGGGGCCACGCAGTCGGTGGGGTGGGTGAGTAGGGTTACCCTTAGGGTCCTGGAGCTGGGTGCCCCGGCTTGGTCGGGGCGGAGTCTCCCCGGGACTGGGGACAGAGCCGTCAGAGTCCCAGACCTAGAGGAAAGGACACACCTCTGGGTGGGTGGGGGCCTCACGCACCTGGAACTGCACGTAGTCCCAACTCTCCTCCGCAGCCGACTCCTCCGGGTGCGCGCGGTAGTTTTGGATGGTCTCCATCACGATGTCTTTCACCCTCCGCTCCAGCTAACAGGCTAAGAGTGAGGCTGGATCCCCACATGCTTCCGCACCACCCCCCCCCAATGCCCCGACCCCCTCCAGCCCCTTCTGGGCTTTCTCAGTCCCACGGGGTCCCTGAGCGTCGTAAGTTGGTCTCGATTTCTCACTCAGTGGCTAGCTAGGTAATGTTCCTTAAAAATCTCTGCCTATCGTGTTTTTCTGTTTCTCCTACTCTCTCCCACGATCTCTCATTAGATCTGTCTCTTTCTTGGAGTCTCCGGTTTCTCCGCCTGTTTCTCTCTCTCTCTCTCTTTTTGTATTTCCCTTTGGATCTCTGTCTCTCTTGCTATGTCTGTCTTCCTCCGTTACTGTCACCCTCTTGTTGAATCTTCCTTCAACTCTCATCATCTCTATCTTCCTCTCTGTGTCCCTGTTTTGCTGTCTGCCTCTGCCTGTCACTATTATTTCTCTTTGTCTATGTCAGCCCTTGTCTACCTTTGTTTGCATCTTTTTTCAGCCACCACCTTGTTCCCCGCACTAGCTGGGAGGGGGGGGGAATGAGGGGAGGGAAAGCCAAGCTCACCCGGGTCCGCTGAGTGGAGATGAGGATTCCCAGGGTGATCTGCATGGCAAACAGGAGCAGCAGTATCCCAAAATACTGGGGGGGCGGGGGGCAGCAGAGTGGGGAGGTCAGGCAGAGCCCCTTCCCAGGATGCAGGGGCTGCCAGCGCTCAGTTGGGAGAAGGGGGGTGTGGGGAGAGCACTCACCAGGCCCAGGAGGCAGCGGAGCTCCTTCAGGGCCCCCACACAGCCCAGGAGAGCAAGACCCATGGTGAGAATTCCTGAGATGGCCAGGGCCTTGGACCAGATCTGCAGGGGCATGAAGGACAGGCCTGGGGGAGGTGAGAGGTAGTGACATTGGGCATGGTGCTCACAGCCCCAGGTAGCACCATTCCCCACCCACGCAGCCACTCAACTGGGGAACAATATTGGGAGGGCCTCTTTCTCTGGGTGTCTGTCCCTGCCACATGTTGAGTCTCTGTTCCTCTCCTTCTGGGATTCTATCTTCCCCCTTTTCTGGCATTCTGTCCCTCCTGAGTCACTCACTGTCCCCTCAACCCCCTCTCTAGGTCTCTGATCCCTTCTCTGGATCTCTGTTCCTTTCTCCCTGGTCACAGTCTCTCCCTCTCGCTCTCAGCTGCTCTTTCCTCCTTCAGCAACTCCTCACCCCCAAAAGTTTCAGTCCCCTCACTTTGTGTGTGGCAGTGGATCTGTCACTTAGACTCCCCAAGGGGTAGGGGAGCACTATACCTATTTCCGAGCGCTCTTTTAAGGGACACATGGGAGGCATGCGTTCACTGCAGTCCTCAGTACAGGGCACACGCTTATTAAACATGAGCTATTAGTATTTCAACTATTTCTCCATTATTATTTTCCTACTATCATTGTTAATGTTACATCTGCTCTTCTATTTCCTTGCTGCGTGACATCCAGTAAGTGACGTCCCCTCCCTGAACCTCAAGAGGGGAAGGTTTGTGGGAGGATGTGATAAAGATCTGCACTACATCTAACACATAGGAAGTGCCTGAGAAATGGCTGTTATCATTTTTATTATTATTCGTATGCACAACTCCTTTGCCAGAGAATGGCATTGAGACTAAAAGCAGTGGGCAGGCTGTGAAGCAGAGTCTGGGACAAGGGAGACCCCCGAATGTCACTTAGGGGCAGGCCGGGTCACACTTGGTCCAGGAGGCCCCTCCCGGCAGCCCCCGCCCCCTCACCTACAAAGGACACAAAGCTGGTCTTGTCAATGAGTATCCAGATGCCAAAGCAGAAAATCAGGCTGCCTAAGACCTGGAGAGGGGAGATGAGAATATGGCGGTGGGCAAAGGAGGGGTGGTATCAGGTCAGGTGGCTGCGGCAGGGGCTGGGGCCTGGGCTGGGTAGCCATGTGGCAACTCACGAAGAAGAAGAGGTTGAAAACGAAGAGGAGGTACTTGATGAGGCTGAGGCAGCTGTCCTGCGCCGACATCTTCGCCCAGAGGGGTGGGCAGCCAGGGGGGAGGGACAGAACAGAAGAGGTGTTAGCAGTGGAGGAGCAGGGCAGAAAGACAGAGGCTGTGAGAGAGGGGGAGGGAGAAAGGAAGAACATAGAGAAAGAGGAAGTTCCAGCGGTGAGCCCCACCCCCTCCCGCTACATTGGAGAGGTGGCCTTCATGTCTGTCTCGACCCCTGTGTCCCCTCATCTGCCCCACTCAGACACACGCCAGTACCTGAGGGGCCTTGGGATTTGTGGGCACCAAGGAAACGCTGGGTAGTCCCTCCCAGGTCTCCATGGCTCAGGCTGGGGGACCCCTAGGGACTCCTGATCTACTTGCAGCCACCTACTCTGGCCCCCAGGGCCCCCGGGCAGCCCTGGACAGTAGCCGACCTCACAAACACTCTGACCTCACTGCCTGCTAGGCCATCTCTGCCTCCATCTCTGTCCCGCCTTCCCGGCCCATGGTCTCTTGTCCTCCCTTCTCTGGGTCTCTGTTCCCTGCTCTCTGCATCTCTGTCCTCTCTCTGGGTCTCTGGTATCCCCCCCCCCAACACCCCTCACTCGCATCTACCCTCTCCTTCTGTGGGTTTCTGGCTCCTTCTCTGGGCAAGCCTATCCTTTCTCTGCTTATGCCCCGTCCCCGCACCTTGTCATGGCCCCTCTCTCAGAGTCTGCATCCGGTTCCTGGCAACAAGTGTACACCACGATGTTCCCATATGCTGGGGAAGGGGCTGGGCACCTGGGGGAAGTGAAAGTGCTTCAGTGCCCCACGTGGGAAGGTCCCTGGGAGTGAGGGGGTGGCCTGGCTGTGCCCAAACACCCAGAGAGGAAGCTGGGTCTCAGCAGCACTTCCTGCTTCTGCAGTGGGGCCCCAGCAGGCTGAGGGTGGGGAGGAGCCCGGATTGAATCTGCGACCTTGGCAGTGAGATCCAGGTCTGCAGCACTTGATGGGCTCCAGCCTCTGTAGTCTCTCCTGTTGACCTATGGTCCCCACTCTTGTCAAGTCGGATTTCCACCTTTTGGTGTGTTTCTACCATCCTGACATCCACCCAGGCCCTGGGACACCGGCCCTTCTTGGAGACCTAGCACCCTCTCTTTCTGAGAGACCTCATCCACCATTTTTTTTAGCCTCCAAACGCAATTTTTTTCTTAGTAATGTCATCGAAAATCAATTCACGTTAATAGTATTCTGATTTTTTTAAATGTTTTATTTATTTCTAGGAGAGAGAGAGAGAGACAGCATGAGCAGGGGAGGGTCAGAGAGAGAGGGAGACGCAGAGTCTGAAACAGGCTCCAGGCTCTGAGCTGGCAGTCAGCACAGAGCCTGACGTGGGGCTCGAACCCACGAACCGCGAGATCATGACCTAAGCGAAAGTTGGACGCTTAACCGACTAAGCCACTCAGGCGCCCCAATTGTATTCTGATTTTTGGCTCTGGACTTTCTTTTCCTCTTTCCAGTGTTACTGAGGGGTAGTTGACTATTGCAATTGTGTATATTTCAAGTGTCCAACATGATGATTTGATCTACATATGCATTTTGGAATGATTGCCAAGATCAGGATAACATTTTCATCATCTCACTTAGTTAACTATTTTTATTTTTATTTTTTCGGTGGTGGTGAGAACACTTAATAGGTGTTCTCAGCAACTTTCCAGTTTGCAATACTGAATTATCTAGTCACCAACCTGTACATCAGATCCTCAGAATGTATTTTTTCTAAATGTTTATTTAGAGAGAGAGAGAGAAAGAGAGAGAGCAGGGGAGGGGCAGAGAGAGAGGGAGAGAGAATCCTAAGCACAGAACCCTATGCGGAGCTGGATCTCACAAACCTTGAGCTCATAACCTGAGCTGAAATCAAGAGTCAGATTTTTAACCCATTGAGCCACCCATGCCCCGCTGAATGTATTCTTCTTTCAACTGAAAGTCTGTGCCCTTTGACCCACATCTCCCCATTCTTCTACTCCCCAGAGCCTGATTGTCAGCATTCTATTCTCTGTTTCTATGAAATTGTCCCCCCATGCCCCCCCCCCCGCCTTTTTAAAAATAAGATTCCACATTTCAGTGATACCGTGAAGTCTTTCTCTCTCTGGCTAATGAAGCCCTACAGGTTCATCCATGTTGCAAATGGCAGGATTTCCTCTTCTTCCTCCTCCTCCTCCTCCTCCTCCTCTCTCTCTCTCTCTCTCTCTCTCTCTCTCTCTATGTGTGTGTGTGTGTATAACATTTTTTTTTAAGTTTATTTATTTGAGAGAAAGAGAGAGGGCAGCACAAGTGGGGGAGGGGCAGAGAGAAGGAGAGACAGAGTTCCAAGCAGGCTCCATGCTATCAGTGCAGAGCTCTACGCGGGGCTAGAACTCACGTAGTGGGAGATTGAGATCATGATCTGAGCCAAGATCAAGAGTTGGCCCTCAACCAACTGAGCCCCCCGGACGCCCCTACACCACATTTTCTTGATTCATTCATCTGTTGAAGGATAGGTGGGCTTTCTAGGTCTTGTTTATTGTGAATAATGCTGCAGTGAACATGAGTGTGCTCTTCAAGATATTGATTTCCTTTGGATATGTGCCCATGAGCGGGATTGCTGGATCATATGGTAGTTCAATTTAAAAATTTTTGAGACCCCTCCATACTGTTTTCCAGAGCAGTTTTCCCAATTTACATTCCCATAAGTACACAATGATTCTCTTTTCTCCATATCCTCAGGATCATTTGAAATCTCTTATCCTTTTTTTAAAAAATGTTTATTTTATTTTATTTTTTTAAATTTTTAATGTTTTATTTATTTCTGAGAGAGAGAGAGAGAGACAGTGTGAGCAGGGGAGGGTCAGAGAGAGAGGGAGACACAGAATCCGAAGCAGGCTCCAGGCTCTGAGCTGTCAACACACAGCCTGATGCAGGACTCGAACCCACGAACTGTGTGATCATGACCTGAGCTGAAGTCAGATGCTTAACTGACTGAGCCACCTAGGCGCCCCTGTTTATTTTATTTTTGAAACAGAGAGAGACAGAATATGAGCAGGGGATGGGGGCAGAGAGAGAGGAAGACACAGAATCCAAAGCAGGCTCCCGGCTCTGAGCTGTCAGCACAGAGCCCAATGAGGGGCTCGAACCCATGAACCGTGAGATCGTGACTTGAGCCAAAGCTGGATGCTTAACTGACTGACCCCCAAGGGCGCCCCTCTTACCTTTTTTGATCATAGCTATCCTAACAGGATGTGAGCCATCTTAACAAGTAGTTACAGCTAACAGGTGTAACCAAATCTCACTGAGGTTTTGGTTTGCATTTCCCTGATGATTAGTGATGTTGAGCACATTTTCATATATCTATCTGCCATCTGTATTTCTTCTTTAGAAATATGTCTACTTGGGTCCTTTGCACATTTTATAATTGGAGTGCTTTTCTGCTGTTGAGTTGTAGGACTTCTTTATATGTTTTGGATATTACCCCTTCAGCCGATATATGACTTATAAATTACATTTTCTCCCATTCTCCATTGAGAAGATTACCTTTTCAATTTATTGTTCCTTTTGCTGTGAAGAAGCTCTTTTTTTTCTTTTTATGTAATCCCACTTATTTACTTTAGCTTTTGCTGCCTGTGCTTCTGGTCTTATCCAGGAAATTATTGCCAAGACCCACTTGGAAAAACTCAAAGAGCTGTTTCCCTATGTTTTCTTCTAGGAGTTTTGGTTTTGCTATTAAGTCTGTAATCCATTTTGAGATCATTTTTGTGAGTAGTGTATGATAGTGGTTCGGTTTTATTCTTTTGCACGTGGATATCCAGTTTTCCCAGCACCATTTATTAGAGATGATCCTTTCTGCATTATGTGTTCTTGGCACCCTGTCAAAAATTAGTTGACCTTGGGCCGCCTGGGTGGCTCAGTCGGTTGAGCATCCGGCTTTGGCTCAGGTCATGACCTCACAGTTCTTGGGTTCAAGCCCCATATTGGGCTCTCTCTCTCAGAAATAAATAAAAACATCAGAAAAAAAATTAAAAAAATTAGTTGACCTTATATGTGTGGGTATACTTCTGGGCTCTTTATTCTATTACACTGGTTTATGTGCCTGTTTCTATACCATTTTTTAAAAGTTTATTTATTTATTTTGAGAGCGAGAACGTGCACCAGTGGGGGAGGGCCAGAGAGAGAGGGAGAGAGAATCCTAAGCAGGCTCCATGCCCAGTGTGGAGCCTGACATGGGGCTCCATCCCACAAACCATGAGATCATGACTGAGCTGAAATCAAGAGATAGCACTTAACCAACTGCGCCCATCCAGGCGCCCTCTACTATTTGTTTTGATTACTATAATTTTGTAATATAGCTTGAAATAAAAAAGTGTGATGCCTCCAACTTTGTTCTTCTTTCTCAAGATTATTTTGGCTATTTCTTTTTTAATGTTTTTATTTATTTTTGAGAGATCAAGAGAGTGAGTGGGGAAGGGGCAGAGAGAGAGAGGGACAGAGGATCCAAAGTAGGCTTTGTTCTGACAGGAGAGAGCCAATGTGGACTCAACATGAGCCATGAGATAATACCATGAGCTGAAGTTGGACTCTCAACTGACTGAGCCACCCAGACACCCCTCTTTTGGCTCTTTCAAGGTCTTTTGCAGTTCCATACAAATTTTAGGATAGTTTTTCCTGCTTCCACGAAAAATGCCAATAGAATTCTGCACTGAATCTGTAGGTTGCTTTGGATACTAGGGACATTTTCACAATATTGATTCTTCCTATCCAAGAACACAGGATGTCTTTCCATTGTGTCTTTTTCAATTTTTTTTCATTAGTGTCTTAGAGTTTTCACCTCCTTGTTGAAATTTATTCCTAGGTATTTTATTATTTTGATGCTGCTGTAAATGGTTTTGCCTTCTTTTCTTTCGTATAGTGTGTTGTTAGTGTATAGACATACAACTGATTTCTTTATTTTGATTTTGTATCCTGTAACTTTACTGAATTTGTTTATTAGTTCTAACAGCTTTTTGTTGGAGTCTTAGGGTTTCTTATGTAAGATTATGTTGTCTGAAGACATATAATTTTCTTCCTTTAAGATTTGGATGACTTCTGGGGCGCCTGGCTGGCTTAGTCGGTTAAGCGTCCGACTTTCGCTTAGGCCATGATCTCGCGGTCCGTGGGTTCGAGCCCCGCGTCGGGCTCTGTGCTGACTGCCAGCTCAGAGCCTGGAGCCTGTTTCAGTCTGTGACTCCCTCTCTCTCTGACCCTCCCCTGCTCATGCTGTTTCTCTCTCTCTCCTAGAAAAAAAAAAGATTTGGATGACTTCTATTTCTTTTTCTTGCCTAATTGATATGGCTAGGATTTCTAGCATTGTGTTGAATAGATGTGACAAGAGTGGGTATTTTGTATTGTTTCTGATCTTAGAGGAAAAACTTTTAACTTTTCACCACTAAGTATAATGTCAGCTGTGTGCTAGTCTCA